AGCCGCTGGCCTGCACAATTTCAGAAAGCTGCAAATGGAAAGAAGGATGCCAACAGTTTCCTCAGCCCTCAGAGAAGCAAATATTCAGGCATGATCATACTGGGGACAGGCAAGGGGGACAGGCCTGCCATCGCTGGGGGTGTGGTAGGGAGCTGCAGGGGGCTCTCCTGGGAGGGGGATGATGCAGCAGGTTCACTTCCTGGTGGGCTGAGGCTCATGGGAGATATATTCCTAGGTGGGCTCTCCCCCCTCCTTTGCTGGGGCACCCACAGGAGGGGGGCCGTGTGAGAGCCCCTCGGTCTGAGGGAGGGTATGGGGGACACGGGCTGGCGGAGGGCCCACACGGTCCAGCGTGGCTTCGGGCCAGGCGGGTCAGCTCTCGTGGGTGTGGTTCCGTCAGATTCCATCAGGTGAGGCTGACTGGGTGTTGGGGTCCCAGGGGCGGGGAGGTGGAGGAGGGAGGGGCCCCGTCACTCGCAGGCCCAACAGCCGAGCTGAGCAGAGGCGAAGCTTAAAGGGCTGGGTCTGAAGCCCACCCCCCTCCCCGCCACTGCACCCTGTTGGCCCTGCGGGACCTGCTCCCGCCCTGCCGGCCAGGGGTGCCAAACCTCACTTCCTTCTCCTTTGCAGCTCCCTAGAGAACAGAGCAATTGCATAAGCTGAAGAAACCTCTGGAAGTTCAACCTTCCCAACCTCAGCAGGTCCCTGTTGAACTGGGACCCAGTGCATCTGCCTCCCCTCCCCACCTCCCTATCCCACCCCCTGTCCACCAATTCCCGCACAGGAAACACCTTTCTTCTCCTCCTGATCTTCGTCTTTCTCCCCCTCCTTCTCCCTGCCCCCCTAGCACCTCCCTGCCCGCCCCCCCCCATGGGCCCGACCACCTACAATCCCCAGCAAGTCCTGCTCTTGCTGTCCACCCCGGTCGAAGGCAGGCAGCGTGGCCACGTGCCCCCCAGTCAGTGTGTGGTATGCAGCGGAGGGCATGTCCTACACCACACCTCCTGGATGTATCGGCTTCAGCAGGGCAACCGCCCAAGGATTTACTTTGCTTGCTTCAAGCCTGCCTTTCTGGACCTAAGAGACTTGCTGGAGTCGGAAGACTGGGAAGATGATGTCTGGGACCCTGAGCTGATGGACCACACCGAGGCGGGGCCTGAGCAGGGGGCGTCCCCAGGGATGGGGCCGAGCTGGGGGCAGGGCCAAGAGTAGCCTGCACAGGGAGCGTCTTTGGACCGGGGGTGGAGCACCCCGGCGTCAGCCCCTGGGGGTCAGAAGAGGTGGGCCCGGACCACTATTTCGTGCCCACGGAGCTGGAGCCCCGGGACGTGGCACCCCTGGGCCTGGGTCCAGAGGATGCTGACTGGACCCAGGGCCTTCCCTGGAGATTCGGGGGGCTTCCTTCCTGCTCACACTGGCCGAGGCCCCCTCTCCCGTGGCACAGATTTCTCAACGTGGACCTGCTCCCCGGGGGGAGCCCATGGTGTTGGAGCTGGGCACCACCCGGGCAGTGGACCCTGCTGAGGCCAAGCCCTGGTTCCAGGACCTGCAAGTGGTATCCATGATGGGCCGCTATGATGCCGTCTACCTCCGGAAGATGACACCAGCATGGGCCCTCAGGACCTCTGAGCAGTGCTGGAAACTGCTGCTGGAGCCCGATGAGGTGTGGGTGGTGAGGCTCCGAGATGCACCGCAGGGGCAGGGCCTACACAGGTGGAAGCTGAGCATTCTGGAATGCTCTCCTCCAGGGCAGAGTGAAGAGCTGGTCCCTGCAGACTCAGCCCTGCTTAAGACCCTTCTCTTATTCACCCTGGACCAAAAGGGAGGCAGAGGAGGGGACTCAGCCTCTAGGCCACAGTCCTCCATCCAAGGAAGGGATCCCAGTAGCACTGAGACCTGGAACAGTGGGTCCAGGGCGCCTGGGGAGAGCCTCGGCCCTGGGGGAGCTGCCGTGTTTCCAGCCCCTCAGCCCAGGGCCCCGGGACTGAGGGACTGAGGCCCAAGTGGTCACCACTGTTCTGGCTGCCCTGGGACACCAGAGGCTGGGGAGGACTGGTCGCTGCTCCTCCACAACAGCCAGAGGAGCAGTTGGCAAAGGATGGGGACTTGTGGCTGTGGAGGAAGAATGGGGAGTGGCCTAGGGACTGAGAAATGGGACCCGCCACAGCCTCAGGTGGAAGGGACCCAAATGCCTATAACTAGGAGAGAAGTTCTTCTGTGTCAAATGTCACGGAGTTGGGAATGTGACGCTATCCAGGGCGTGCTGCGTGAATGTTTGCTGTGCAGTGGGTGAAGTGGGGAGCAGGACACGAATCTGTGCACCAGCCTGCCCTGGCCATGGGGAGGGATGTCTCAAGTGTGACGCACAGTCCCGGGATCACACCAGAGTCTGGGGGCAACAGGGACATGTGCTTGCCTTTGCCTGGATGGTCTCTGAGGCTGCACAGGACCCTGTCAGCAGCACTGGGGACTCTGGTCTGCAGTGGGGGGACCTGGTTTCCAAGGTTGGCTATTCTATGCAGCTCGACTGTTTAGTTTCACTTTCTTTGTACGTTGTTTTTAGTTAAATGAAGCAATAAGAGTTTTGCATCAAACCCCTGTGCGAGTCATCTCTCAGCTAGTCGTAGTTGATTGGCCTTGTCGTCTCAGTGTCTGGATTTAGTCACCGTCACAGATTTAAATCCCCTGGGAGAAGGGGACAAAAGTGGGGAGCAGCACAGGACAGATGATGGTTCTGGTCAGTTTTTTGGCTTGTGGTGGGAGTTTGTTTTACAGGTGTTTATCATATTTTTTATAAACAACAAATACATTCACACACACTTAAAATAAAGAAGGGCCATGTTTTGAACAATAATGAGAGTGTGTCATCAGATTTTCATTAATCTAAATGTGTCCCCTGATATTAAAAAAAAAAATTTACAGACAGAACCATGTTTAAAGAATGCTAATAATGTTCGTGGGACACAGAGAGAGAGAGAGTCACACTCATCAGCATACTTGTGCTCTGCACACTCACTGGAGAAGGAAGCTCTAAAGATCTGGTCACCAGGGTGCAGCGTGCAGGAAAGATGCTCTCCATTGGCAGCTTCTCCTTCTTGTAAATGATCCATCTAGAGGTTTCCAAAATCCTCTGTTGGTGGTCTCTGTTTGGCACAGCCTTCCAGTGATCCAAGGATGGGCTGTGTCCCTTTCACTGAAAGATACAGGTCGAAGAGTCTGCTCCGGGAGGTTTTACTGCTGCGTTAGGTATCGACAGTAGCAGTAAAGTCCTTTCATCAAATTTTGAGGGCAGTCTGCCTCTCGTGTGTGTCTTGTAGAAGTGAGTCTCCAGGCCTTAAATCATGAAGGCTTTTGATGCTAATTAAATGGAGAAACGGCATTAATGCAGCAGCCATTCAAAACACTTCACTTCAATAGGCCCTCATAATTCTGTGAGCATTTAGTGACTTGGAGTCTGTATTCAAATGCACACCTGGCTCTTCTCCTAGAGGAACCCAGCCTGGTCTTGCCTTCATCCCCTCCTCTCTCTATCTCTCCACGTTAAACAGTCCATTTATTCATTATTGCAGCAAACCCTTGTTTTAGGCAGTCTTTTTTTTTTTTTTTTGATGACCCTGCTGCTTTGCTGTACTCAGGGATGCTGAGGTCAGGAGGGGTCAGCCTTGCAGAGGGGCCCAGGTGAGAGCCCCAGCTCGGAGTCATGAGGCTATAGCTGGTTCCTTGGCTCTTCTCATCTGAAAATGGGGAAAAACACCAACTCACAACGTTATGGCGAAGATGAAATAAGATCAAATGTTTCCTCAAAAAATTAAGCATATGATTACCATCTGACCCAGCAATTCCACTCCTAGGTACCCAAATTAATTAAAAACAAATATGTGCATGTTCATAGCAGCACTATTCACAATTGCCAAAAGGTGGAAACCAGCCAGATGTCCAACAGATGGATGGATAAATGAAATGCCGCATGTCCATACAATGGAATGTTATCCATAAACATGAATGAAGTTCTGATAGATGCTACAATGTGAATGAACCTCAAAAACATTACGCTAAGTGAAAGAAGCCAGACACAAAGACCACATATTGTATGATTCCATTTACATGAAATGTCCAGAATAGGGAAATCCATAGAGACAATAGCAGATGAGTAGTTGCCAGGCCCTGAGGGAAAAGGGGAGCGGGAAGTAATCACTTAGTGGGTGTAGGGTCTCCTTCTGAGGTAATGAAAATATTTGAAGCTAGATAGAGGTGATGGTTGCACAATATTGTGAATGCACTACATGACACTGAATTGTTCACTTAAATAGTTAACTTTATGTTATGTGAATTTCACCTCAATTAAAAAAAAATCAAATGTGAAAGTTGTAGCAGGTTGGTCCAGAGTAGGGATAATCGTCTGCTCACTTCTCAGAGGACCCGTGAAGAACCCCCGCCCCCCAGACATCGCTCCAATGTGCATTATTCCACTCATTTGTTTAAAACAGCTGCTGTCACTGCTGGCTGTTAATGAAATACTGGCCTTCACGCTGCATACAATTACATGGTGATTTTTCTCTTCCAATCCAAAGAGGCATCACAAACAATTACGCTTATTTGCATTCACAGCCTGGGCAGGTTCCTGTGGAGGGATGTTCCTGCCAGGTGTCCCATGTAGCATTAAAAATTATTTGTTGTTGTTGATCAGAAACCTGAATTTAACTGAGAGTCCTGTATCTTATCAGGTGACGCTGCCCTGAGGGCTCCGCTGCAGTCACTGCCAGCATATGACACTCGGTCAGTTATGGCCCATCCCCTGAGGGCTCATGCCCCATGTGGATGGGGCCCGTTCCCCTCTGGAGTCTGACCCTCTAGGACTCAGTCCTGGGGGCCTCTGGCTGTGTTGCTGCAGCTGCCGCTGGGCCGCACCACACCCTGCACAGGCCGCTGCAACACAGGGTAGGTGTCCAGGTCCCTGGGGCCTCCCAGAACCAGAGGACAGACGGCCACTCCTTGGCTTGAGCTGGGACACCCATGGTGGCCTGTTCCATCTTGAGTCTCTTCGTGGGGCTTCAGCCTTGTGCCTGGCAGGTCATACCACGTGGACCCCTCAGATTGAGCAGAATCACCTCCTCGTGCCACATCCTAGCAGCCCCATAGCCCAGATAGACCCCTCCTCCAGGACGCCCTACTGGACCAGTCCCCCTCCCCGCCTCTGTGATTTGAGGTGACAACTGTCTCTTCCCCTCACTCAGCCAAGAGCCAAATGCTGCCCGAATACAGCGCCCCCGCTGTCCTGGACCGCCATGTGCACAGTGAGTGCGACTCCTCTGCCCACGTAGACAGAAGACTCCCTGAAGGCGGGGACCATACCATTGCCTTCATCTTCATCCCATCCTCATCCTAACAGCCAATGGTTACTGAGTGCCACCTGCAGCGCCAGCATTGTGCAGCACTTCACACGTGTTAACTCTAAATCTCACAACCCTCTGATGACACAGGTTCTACTTTTAGTCGAATTTTATAGATGAGGAAACTGACGCACAGAAAAGTGTGGTAGCTCCCCTAAGGCCACACAGCTGACAAGGAAGACACCTAGATTCACACTGAGGCAGCTGGAGTCCAGACCTCTTTGGCCTCTCTATGTCCAGCCCAGAGCCCTGCCTGACTCTGTGTGGTCAGCATCTGGCCCTAGGAATGGGGTGGAGAGGGGTCTTGTAAATTAGCTGGGAGGTGTGTGTGGAGTACCACAGAGCCTTTCAGAGGGGTGAATGAGCTCTCATCTATCAGGTTGAGAGAAAAGAAAAAAGTGCAAAGGATAGGTACCGTATGGTCCCACTTACGAAAATTTTAAAGCATGTTATTAATTGCACATGGAAAAGACATAGTCAAAAAAAAAGTTTGAGAGTCACCCCAAAGTCAGGGCAGAGGTGCCTCTAGGGAAGGAGGAGAATGGGAATGTGGAAGGCTAGGGATGTTTTATTTCCTAAAACAACAATCTAAAGCTAATATGGGAAAATACTGTCACTTGATCTAGATCAGCATATTCAAGGTGTGTGTTTATGCACTGTGTGAATGTAAAAATGATGGTGGTGGTGATGGTGGTGGTGGTGATGGAGATGGGAATGAAGCTGATGGTGATGATGGTGAAGAAAGTTCCCAGGAGAGACCTGCAGGAAAAGGACCCCACCCCCTTGGATTTTGGCTGCTGCGGAGGCCCGTTCATTAGTTTTGGGGCTGAGGCATCCCACTGCCGTTTTCACGGATGGGGCTGATGGGCCTCAGGAAGGAGGTAGGGCCCCTGACCACCTGGTTTCTCAGGGAGGCGGGGAGGAGTGGCCTGGCCATGCTGAGGGGAGAGGAGTCCCTGCACTGTTACGTGGCGTTAGACCCCCCGACACAGTGAGGACAGCTGGCCTCAGCTGTACTGCTGCAGGAGAAATCTGGAGCCCCTGGGGTTTCTACCTTCACTCCAGCATCGACTCCCACCTTTGTAATCCTCAGAAGGGCTCTAGGAGGCTCTGCGTCCAGCCTCTTCACTCAGAACGTGAGGGTTAATGGATCCTGAATCGGGGCCCTTTTCCAC